ACTTTATGGAGAAAGAGCGACTCTTTATGATGAACTCTTTCTTCCAGAAGCGGCCCCACAGGAAGTGGACCTGATCGAGCCCCGACGGTTCGACAAAAAATGAGATTGACTTCATTATGACGACCAGACGCCAACTGTTCAGTGATGTCTCAGTGATCGCAAGGGTGAAAACTGCCAGTGATCACCGAATGGTTAGAGGCACACTGAACCTAAACGTTAAGTTATAGAGGTCTCGTCTAATGAAGTCAACGCTCCGTCCCCCTCGTGCTCTAATCCAGAATCCCGAAACCTTTCAGCTCGAGTTACAAAACCGCTTTCAGTGCCTAGAGGATTGCAAGGCAGTGGACAATATGAATGACAAGCTCGTGGAAACTGTCCATGCGGTCGGAGCTAAGTTCTGTAAGACCCGCCGCAGAAGAACACAAAAACTCTCCGATCACACTCTTAATCTCATAGCTGTTAGACGGGAGATGAGGCTGCAATCGTCAACAGATTTGACAGCATACAGGCAACTGAACAGACTCTATGGGCGGCGGTAGTCACTTAACATCAGGTGAGCCGCATGCTCGTTTGCCCCCTCTTCTATAAAAAAAAGACAGATCTCCAAATGCATGCGGCGAGACTTACGCAACTTTAATACTGCTCGTATTAAAGAAGCGATCGAGCGGAACCAGGGCTCCAAAGTCTTTGCCAGAGATCTGTCTGCCAGAAAGAGCCAACTGTCAAAGCTGCAGACTGAGTGTAGCAACATCGTTTCCGGGACACCTGAGATTCTGAGTGAGATTGAGAGGTTCTATGGGCAGCTGTACACATCATCGTTGGAGCCACACGCAAGTGTGAGTAACGATCCAAGAGCAAGTCTTATCCGACACTATTCCGATGATATCCCGGACGTCAGTCTGAGCGAGATTAGAATGGCTCTCCACCACCTTAAAAACGGCAAGGCCCCGGGCGAGGATGGAATTACAGCGGAGCTTCTGAAAGCGGGTGGAACATCGGTACTTGAAGTCCTTCAGAAGCTCTTCAATTCCGTCCTCCATGGTGGCACTACTCCGGAGGCGTGGAGCAGAAGCGCGGTGGTCTTGTTCTTTAAGAAAGGCGACAACGCTCTCTTGAAGGACTACAGACCGATTACCCATCTGAGCCGCATCTACGTGATGTTTTCGAGAGTCATTACGAATCGTCTCGCACGCAGACTCGACGACTTCCAGCCTCCCGAACAAGCCGGTTTCCGAAAAGGCTTCAGTACCATAGACCACATACATACCCTGCGGCAGACAGAAGACCGAAGAGTACAATCTGCCACTTTGCCTGGCATATGTGGACTATGAGAAAGCCTTTGATTCGGTCGAAATTTGGGCGGTGCTACAGTGCATTCAGCGGTGCCAAGTTGACTGTCGGTATATCGAAGTGCTGAAGTGTTTGTACAGTAGGGCTACGATGGCTATCCGAGTACAGAACTGGAGTTCGAAACCTATCCAACTGCAGAGAGGTGTAAGACAGGGTGATGTTATATCCCCGAAACTCTTCACCGCTGCATTGGAAGACGTTTTCAAGCTACTAGACTGGAAAGGATACGGTATTAACATCAATGGCGAGTACATCACTCACCTTCGATTTGCCGACGATATAGTCCTTATGGCAGAATCGCTGGAGGACCTTAGCACTATGCTCAATGACCTAAATGGTGTCTCCCAACGGATAGGTCTTAAGATGAACATGGACAAAACAAAGATCATGTTTAATGTCCATGTCATACCTATGCCGGTAGTTGTTGGGAGCACTATGCTCGAAGTTGTTGACGAGTACGTTTACCTGAGACAAATAGTCCCACTAGGTAAGTCCAACTTCGACCGAGAGGTCCATCGACGGATTCAACTCAGCTGAGCAGCGTTCGGGAAATTACGACACATCTTCTCGTCAGGTATACCTCAATCTCTGAAAACTAAAGTGTATAACCAGTGCGTGTTGTCAGTGATGACTTACGGATCTGAGACGTGGTCCTTCACTGCTGGCCGTATGAGGACGCTCAAGGTCACTCAGCGAGCTATGGAGAGGGCTATGCTCGGAGTTTCTCTGCGTGATAGACTCAGAAATGAGGATATCCGCAGTAAAACCAGAGTGACCGACATTGCCTAACGGATTAGTAAGCTGAAGTGGCAATGGGCCGGTCATATAGCTCGAAGAACCGATAACCGATGGGGAAGAAAGGTTCTAGAGTGGTAGCCTCGTACCGGTAGGCGTAGTGTAGGGCGACCCCCCACTAGATGGAGTGACGACCTTGTAAGACATGCAGGAAGTCGATGGATGCAGGTGGCTCAGGACCGTGCTTTGTGGCATTACTTGGGGGAGGCCTATGTTCAGCAGTGGACTTGTGAAGGGCTGTAATGATGATGATGATGATGATGATTACCTGACAAAGACAATTCGTCTTTGGATAGTCATACGATTCAGTTGAATTTTCTCAAACTTTTTTGCTGCTTCTGGATTTCTTAGCGGCAATTTCTATGCATTCTTTTACAAAATCCCCATCATTGAAGGGGCGACTTCGCTTTGCTATCATTCGAGAAATTTAATAACTAACTTCTGTAGCTGTTTCTGAATCTTGAATGGGTTTTGTAAACATAGCTTGCTGACCAATAAGCTCCCGTTTTAAAGACATTTTTTGCTTTCTTAATTCGCCTGTAAACTTGGTAAAAGTAGGATGCTGCGTTTTATAGTGCCTTTTTACATTATATTCCTTTGTAATTGCAACAGAATTCTTGCAAATTGAATAAACGACTTTGTTATGCGACCATACAAAAAAGAATTTCTCAGTCCAAATTTCTTGTAACTGCCGATTTTCATCTTTAACCTTACGTTTTTTACTAGGTCCTGGCTTGTCCATGTTGTCACACAGCACCTAAAAACAATTACAGTACCTACTTAAATTACCCATCCTTTTTTAAATTACCAAAAATAATTGAATAAATAGGTAGGGAAACACTTATTAATAACAGAGTTTTACTTACGATTTCAGAACACAATTATACACGGCACTTGACGGGAAATCTACGTTTAATGTGGATCAAAATATATGACACCCGCAAGTCGAGTTAAAATCTACACTAGAACTATTGACACTTCACTCAAATTAAAACCGAACTGTCGGTCGCTGCGGTTAGCGTGGCTTTTATACCGCGCGTATAGAGTCGAAAACTGTCTGGAGAAATCACGAAATCGACTCTCGGGAATTCGGGACTATTGCTATCTCGCTTGCTCTAACAATATAACCCGTGGATAAGCCGCCACCGCGCTGCCGTCGATGCCGCGCCGCCGGCCACGGCGGTTCCTCAAGAAAACGAATTTAACCGAGATCAGCATGAACATTACCGACCGCTGTTACCGACGCATGCACGGCGCGCGATATTCAAATTACTTTTTGAACATATTTTTTTGGTTTTATTCTGGAATATAATTAAATATTTTTCGAATGTACGAGAGTATTATTTTTGCTGTCGGTGGGCCATTGGTATTCGACCGGCGGGCCGCGGGCTGTGCATCTGCGGCCTAAGGTCTTCTAATATATCGAGAGGCGCAGATCCGTTCGTTTTCTAGCACAATAACGTCTTATACCTAAACTTCAAAAAAAAAAGGCGTAGAAGTACTTTAGTTACCAAATGAGTTTTGTCTCATCTGAGAGACTATTTTCCACCGCAGGTCTTATTCAAACAGATTTACGAAATCAATTTTTTCCGCAAAACTTAAAAATACTTAGTTTTTTAAACAAAAATCTAATCAATGTTAATTTTAATCACTAAAACTATTAACTAATATAAACCTTTCTGTAGTTTTAAACGGTTTTATTTAGTTTGGATTGTTATTTGTTCTTTTTATACTTAAAAAATTACCCAACTTGTGTTTTATTTATTTTACCTTCATTTTTGAATTAAATAAGCGTATCAGTATCGCTGATATTTTTTTATACGAGCATTATGCATTATGGCATATTTTGATTTACTTTTTTCTGTTCTATGTAGTTCTATGAAGACCTCAACTTTTTAATACTAGGGTTATTTTAAATAGTGCAGGATTTAATAATTTAATAAACAATTGTATAGTGCTTAACTTTATTAAATTAAAAAACTAATTTTAAACAACCCCTGTAGAATCATTAAAATCCTATACCTTTAAATGAGCAATTCTTGTATATATATATATATATATATATATCTTAATATATATAAATTACGTGTCACGTTGTTTGTCCGCGATGGACTCCTAAATTACTTAACCGATTTTAATCAAATTTGCACACCGTGTGCAGTTTGGTCCAACTTGAGAGATAGGATAGTTTTTTTGCCCATGAGTGACCCACTTTTTTGTGGCGAATTTAAGGATTTATAATAGGACACGCCAAAGGATCGTCGAAAAGGGCAGAACAACGTCTGCCTGGTAAGCTAGTATATAATCGGAATCTCGGAAACGGCTCCAACGATTTTCATAAAATTTAGTATCCAGTGAGTTTCGGGGGCAATACATCGATCTAGCTAGGATTTATTTTATGAAAATGTCCTTTTGTCCGTGTTTTCAGGCAATAAAAAAACTGCTACAATATAAGAAGGTAAATTTTGACAGATCACTAACGATCGTAACAGCTCAGGTGGGATGTCGGTCGGGCGTGATATCGGAGTTCCGTGGTTCGCGTCCTGTCTCTGGTCCGGCTTTTTTCTTTTTTTTCAAGTTCTCTTCTTTTGTGAGAAAATCTATTATTTCAAGCCTTTTTTTTTTAGTATTTTTGAAAAATACGAAAATTTTAATAAAACTAATTGCACTCATGATTTTTTATTCAAATAACCAGTTCAGTTTTTTCTATTCTGTCAATAAGATCAAAAACATTATTTATGTTTCATCTGTATGTAATTTATAAATGTAATTTAAAAAAAAATAATTGTATATCATCAATTGTATGTCATCCGGGTACTATTTAATAATATAATCAAAAAGACTTTATTTTTCAGGTTCAGAAGATGAAGATGGGGTATTTACAATTAAAGATGTGTGTTGGCCTGAATGTAACATACAAAAGCCTCTACCAGAGTTAAGCAGCGATAGGTAATTTAATTTATCATTAATTAGTATAATAAACTTTGTATTTTTTAACCTTTTATCATTATTAGAACACAATTTTCTTCCACAAAAACATATTCTTTAAATGATTACGAATGTAATATTTATTTTATTTTATTTATTTTATGTTTTTGGGTGAATTAACTAACTAAAAATGTATTTTAACATTTATTTAGCATAACATAGCTGATATAAAAGCGTAGCAGCTAAAGAATTTATATTTTATTAATGACTGAGTAAAATTATGGATTTTATTGTGTTTATTTCAGCTATAGCTCTATATTGTGATAAAACATTGAGAAACACTTTAAAATCTGAAAAAAAAATATAAGTACATAGTTAATTTTAATAGATAGTGTTACTTTAGTCTTTATATGGAAAAGCTTTTTTTCTGGCATTTTATTACAACATTTTACTATTTTACAATAATTAATTTTTGCTCACTTAAGGAGCCGAGTGGGCTAGAATACTATAAAATAAAAAATATGAACTAAAAACTAAATGGCCCCATTGTAGGATTCGAATTCGCGCACTTCCGTTCTCCTCTCCTCTCTAGGCGAAAAGTTTATTATAATTTCTTGAAATTTAAGAGGAGTGCTCTAAAATTGGTCGTAGTTGCGGGGAACAGATGTATGTAAAAATTTAGAAAGATCTTTAACTGTTCTTTAAATGCTTGATCTATACTTTTGCTTTATATTGTTTTGAATACTATTAATGTTTAGATTATAAATAATTGTTGCAGATATGTAGTCTTTATGTCAGGTCTTAATATGGCATCTAAGTCAGCTGATCATTTGTTCTCTTTAAATTTATGCCTTGAATGGTTGTCTGGTTTTTGTGGTACTTCAGAATACCAAAAAGATATTTCTAAGATTGTAAGGGTGATTATTGCAGGTAAAATAAACATTTTAACAAATTTTAACATTTTAAAGAACAAAGAAATAGTAATAATTTAAATTGAAATTAACATTTTAGGTGGTATATTCGCAAATCACTCAAATGAAATTACGTTAAATGAGTCTGATGTAATAGCTTCGGCTGAAGTAGTAGACTCCTTTTCTGCAGCTGTAAGTGCAGTAGCACCTTTAGATTTGATGCCAGGGTGCAAAGACCCGTCTGGCATTATGTTACCTCAAAAACCATTTCACTATTGTAAGTTAAGAACAATAAATTACTTCTAAAAAAGAAAATTTAAATTAATTAGATGTATATTTATTACTCATATATATTCACTTTTGTTTAATTTAAATTTATAAATGTTTGTAGGTCTTTTTCCAAAAGCTGTGGAGTACAAGTCGTTTAATAGAGTTTCAAATCCATATGAATGCGAAATTGGTGGTAAATATTTGTTATTCAAGACTCATTGCTCTTGTTATGGTTCATTGGGAGTTTTCACTTATATTTTACTGTCTTTCTTTTAGGTTTCTTGTGTCTAGGTACGTCAGGTGAACCAGTGAAAGACATTATGAAGTACAGTAAACTTGATAATCATTTAGAAATAATGAAAAAGACATTACAATGGCGTCACATAGCTCCAACTTGCCCTGATACTGTGCCTTGCACACCTTGTACAGAAACTGATCCATTTACAATGTACAATTGTCCTGCTGTGTATTTCAGTGGAAATTGTAAAGAATTTGCTACTGATCTATATAAAGGTTTATATTTCATTTGGATAATAATACGAGGGTGGATTGAAAAGTACTCGGCCTAACCAAGAAAATAAACACATACTAAATCAGTTATATTTTTATTTTTCTACATAATCACCATCAAGTTCAATACACTTTTGCCACCTCCCCTTCCAAGCATTTAGACCGTTGAAAAAAAATGATTCTTCCTTAGAGTCAAAATATGCGTCTACAGCTGCTTTGACCTCGTCGTTTGTCGAAAATCTTTGACCTCCCAAGTGCTTTTTTAGGTTAGGGAACAGAAAGAAGTCTGATGGTGCCAGATCAGGTGAATACGGCGGATGCGGTAACAGTTCAAAGCCACAGTTGTGAATTTCAGCCATTGATTGTACTGACGTGTGAACACGGGCGTTATCTTGATGAAACAGGACTTTTCTTCTGAGCATTCCTCGACGTTTTTCTTTTATTTCCTCTCGTAAACGACGTAGTAAGGTGCAGTAGTAATCAGAGTTTATAGTCTGACCCCTTTCAAGACAATCAATCATAATCACACCTTTCGAGTCCCAGAATACTGAAGCCATCACCTTATTTGCCGACAAAATCGACTTAGCCTTTTTAGGGGGTGGTGAACCAGGTCTTCTCCACTGTTTTGATTGTTGTTTTGTTTCCGGTGTACAGTAATGAACCCATGTTTCGTCCATAGTAACAAAACGATTCAAAAAATCATCTGCATCGGCTTCAAATAACTCCAAACAGTCGCGTGAAATAGTCAATCGCGTCCTTTTTTGTTCAACTGAAAGCAGTCGCGGAACCCACCTCGCAGACACCTTGTGGAAACCCAACTCGTTGACAATGATGTTTTGAGTTCATTCATAAAAGATGCCTATAATCTCGGCTATCTCTCTAATTTTTAATCTGCGGTCTCCCATTATTAAATCAAGTACTTCTTTAATATTTTCGTCAGTAGTTGACGTCGAAGGCCTTCCAGAGCGGGGTTCATCTTTCACACTCTCTCTACCACGCTTAAATTCTGCTATCCATTTTTTGACGGATGAATATGACAGAGCACAATCGCCTAATATACTGACCATGTCATCATGGATGGCTTTTGATGATAGCCCCTTTTTATGGAGGTACTTAATGACGGCACGCTGCTCGATTTGCTCCATTCGCGGAAATTATGTCCGATTACTTTGTTAATAAATTTATAAAATCACAACTAATTATCGCACACGTTTCGAACTTCACACAATGAACTAGTCTGAACTGAACTAAATAATGTGCGTAGATTTGATTTTTAGAATTGAATGAATCTGTGTTAGGCCTAGTACTTTTCAATCCACCCTCGTATCTTAAATATATTTTTGTTACTGAATATAAAAACATTTCCTATTTTTCTTTCAGGAGAAGAAGGCCAAATCGTAAGGATTGTATGTGTTCCGGACTTCTGTGATACGAAAACTATTGCCATTGTTAATTTAAGTAATTTGGAGTGCCACAGTATGATTTTCTCATAACTTTGTTAAATAAAGTGAATTGTAATTTGGATTTATTATATTAGCTTGTTTCATACATATAATACTCAAAGGAAAGATTAACATAAGAAATCATACAAATATTGAGGGAAAACTTCTGTTTTCTGGCGATCTTAGTTGTACACAGCAATGTCTTACAGATAACACAAAACAAAACTAGTGTGCTTATGACCACACGACTGAAGTAAAACTTCTTTAGCTATAGTAGTAGTATATTTATATATTAAAGTAGTAGTATATTTATATATTATAATGATAGTATATTTGTATAGTAGTAGTATAATATATACATGTATTTACGTACATTAATTTTCTACAAATAATTAAAGTTATTATCGGCTTACTTCCATAATTTCCTATTATTCACCCGAAAATTCCCAAAACATGAACTTTAAAATGAATTTACAATTTTATTCACTTTGAACATAGAATATTTCATGTATTGAATCAAATATTAATTCATAAAATACGGAACGTAACTGCTATAAGAGAAAGAAAATGTGTGCGTGCACTGATCTTTTTTGCTTATATCCCCCACTCAACTCTCGTTCGCCTCGCCCGATCACACTTCGTAACGCTTTCGTCAGGCGTTCGCCAGTTTACTCCCCAAGTCAAGCGTGCGTAAAGAAGTTTTACTTCAGTTAGAAGGTGGATAAAGATTAACGGATAGGATGCACTGTAATAACAAACAATGCCATCTTATGCATATACAAAGACATTAGATTTTAAAAGATTGATCCGTTACCGTCCTATTAAAGTCCACTCTCAACAAAAGCCATAGTGTGCGTTCACAGTGAATGCGCGGTGTCTAGGGCCTGTTCCGAGTGCGACAGCAGGGACGTGCTGGGCACAGTAACGAGCGAGCTGTTGGAGTGCTCAAGACCGTATTTCAGGTGTTGCAAACGGTGGGCGAGGATTTCGTATTTTTATATTGAACATAAGAGAATGCACACCCAGCACGAAGTAAAAACCGAGAAATAGTTGGTGAATTTTTTGCTTTGTATGAAAATTTGAGATTTTACCCTAGAAAAAACCCTGAATTTACTCGATGTCCGAATTAACATTTGATTATAACTTGAATAAAATATCACCTAACATTATCATTCATAAAAAAATGAAGACGCGCTTACATTGAGCAACAAGACCGAAATAGTTTGATACTCCCGCCACAAGCGCATGGGGTCGCTTGCTGACTAGGCCCGTAATTGGGCCATAACACGTGGATAAGAGCGTTTGAAAACTACGCGTGCTATCTCGCTCATGCCCGTCGGGCTAGACCTTAGTCACTACACTATGGAGGCAAACGGCGGTTCCCATATGTGCCGCACTGTGGACGCATGCATAGATTGCTTCATAGGGTGAATATTTGTCATAGTTGCAGCGCTTGGCAACCGCAATTTTTTATTTTGAATTGTTACTATTCCGCGACTTCGTTCGCGTAGAATCAGTACTTTTGCTATTCTAAGTGATCATGATTTATTTGTTTAAACTGTCGCGAAGACTTAGAAAGACACAAATCTGAATAAAAACATTAAGTTAGTTGGTCAATCAGACAAACAAACCAAGAAAAGAATAGGGTGAACTGTACGCTTGTGTTTTATTTTTTGAATAACAAAAATAAAACAAAATGACCGCAATAACGTAATCCCTATCGAATTTCTCTAGCCAATACTTGGTTTTCATACAACAAATAAGATATTGCCCTAAATAAGCAAGCTCCGTCACTAATTATTGATAATGAATACGAAATTTGAAATGAAAACTACATAAATGCCTACCGAAAACTAAGTACCTGTTATATATTTTGTCTCATCAGTAGTTAGTTAGTACCAGTTCTGGCTCACTGATTCAGAAGTGGTACAACGTTCGTCGACTCACGATCCTAAAAAAAAAAAGGTTTTGGCATGCTTTGATCACGAATCTGCGGGATATTTTACAGGACGATTGACTCGATACTTACTGAGAGTACTGTATTTAAAAATAAATAAATACGTATTTTGACCCGTTACGGTAGAGGGCGCAGGGCAGGGCATTTTTTATTTGTTTGCAGGATGAAAGTAGTTAGTTCGTACCAGTTCTGGCTCACTGAGTCAGAAGTGGTACAATGTTCGTTGACTCACGATCCTAAAAGAAAAAAAATTTGGCATGCTCTGATCACGATTCTGCGGTCCGTTTTTGCGTAGGATGCACGGTACCGGAGATGTGCAGATCAGTTAACTCTTATCTAATTGATATCCGGTGAGGGCCTCCACCGTCATTAGCGCCCCATTGTTATTTATCTATTGTTCATTGAATACCGTCATTGTCTATCCGTGCATCGGATTATCAGTGCTATTATATTATACTCCTTTGTTCCTAACTGCAACGGTAATCTGAATCATCAATAAAATACATTACCTAATTTTGTTACAATTCTTATTTACGAATTACAAAATCTTATTACTTATTATCTATAAAATAGGAGCGAAACATCTCATCCACTAAAATATCGTTGTACAATGTGTTCCCTGTAAATATACTCGTAAAACTATGCATTGAACATCCCTGAAACTTATATAGCAAATACATTAAGCAATATTCGCCACAAACTGAAGTCCACTCATTCTGAATCCTATCAACATTCCAGTTCCATCTTTTACAATTCCCTTTTAAAAACTAGATGATATCGTACAGGTGCTCGTCCATATGAATCAAAATATTGACCGACGTCATTCGTATCGATATATAAAGCTAACCAATGTGACCATGACAATGTGTGTTATTTATCATCTGTATCCAAATTGCATATTATATACGTTGGTACGTGGGTGTACATGGGCAGTCTATTGGCAGCATAAACATTATTTTCTAGACTGGGGTGAATCTTTTTCAGATGTTGTTGTACATCTAGTGTATCCATGATATTATTGCTATTAGTAGATTATTACAGTACAATCTACTCAATGACTAACATGGGAATGATCAATTATAGTGATTTCTAAATATTAAATTGCATTATTTTGTGTTATACAAAACGTATAGGAGTCATCAATACACTGAACAAGACGCGACACGAAGTAATGTTGAGATAAGCAACAAAATGTGAGATAAGCTTGTTGACGCATAGTTACTATCAATTCCACTGCAGAAATTCTTTAGATTAGAATTATTACTTTCTGGTACTATATAAGACCAGGCAACTGCAATCATGGAGTTAGTGTATGGTCGTTTGACCGCAGTGGATCTATCAATACTACATTTGTGTTACTTCAACGCATCAAAGGCCATGGATGTGTTTTTTCTATTGACAAACTTACTTTTCTTTCTGTTATTTTCTTACGTGTGTATGATTTAGTGTTAACAAATTATATTTAAATATTGTGTGTGTATTATATTAAGCCGTGGTAGCTCAGATGGTTAGCGCAAGCTGTAAATTTCACAGTACCCGGGTTCGATCCCCGCCGGCACCAATTAAATTGTTAATTGCAATTTTAAGTGTTTATTCTATTGACAAACTTACTTTTCTTTCTGTTATTTTCTTACGTGTGTATGATTTAGTGTTAACAAATTATATTTAAATATTGTGTGTGTACCGCATCTACGAATACTAGAGTAGTTAAAAAATACTTTTTTAACAATGACAGTCATTAGTTGATCATTAACCTTTTGAGCGCCACGCCAAAAACTCACTACCGTGTCCTGTACGCCAAAGCGAAAAGTAAACAAAAATACCTACGAAAAAAACAGTGCTGCCAAGAGTTGATATATCGATAACACAAAATAACTTGTTTTTGTTGGTTTTTTATACAATAAATGACTCTTTATAATCGGGTATGTTTTCTTTAATCTTGTGCTGTCTTCCACTCTTTTTATATATGTAATTTGTACATAAATAAAAAAGAAACAATAACAATAAAATAGTAGTAAACCACAACACTACTCTCCATCGTGATGACGTCACTGTCACGACTGGACGACAACGGCGTAGCTGACCTTTCTTTTTGAAACTTTCTTAGAGATGTAGCCGTGTCGCACATTGTGTATCAATTTCAAAATCGATCTAACCAAAATATACAGACATCGATTCTAAATATTTTATGGCGAGGCGTAGGCCAAGTGAATCACAGAGGAAAAGTCTTAGGCTCTTATGACAATGGGGGTTTCATATGATGCTGATGTTGCTAAATGATTTTGGATTGAGAAAGAAAATCGCACAACATAAAATGAAAAATTGCTCTTCATACCTTAAGTAAAGAAAACACATTTATTATTTGTAATTATATATTATTAAAATAAAAAAAGGTACATAATTATTCACTAATCAACAATTGTAAATAATTATTTACTCTAGGTCTAGTCTTAAAATATTGAAATCTTGGTCTTTAACTCAATCAGTACTTAATATAGAAAACAACAATTAAAAATAATTAATAAATTATAGGTAATATTAGTCTTAAAATAATAAAAATCTTATGGAATAATAAAACAAATGTTTAGCTGTCCAAAGCAAATTTTCTAACGTGGTAGAGCCATGCTGCAGTTATATTACGAGAGAGTAGTTGTAGCACGAATGGGTCGGCTCAACCGGGGAAGAACCACGCTCTCACGGAATACCGGCGTCAAATAGTAGCTTAATGCTGCTGTATTTCGTATGGCAAGTGTAGAGAACCGGAGACCCTCTTTACTGGAAACGAGGCATTCCATCTAAGTCCTCACGGGTGAGAGCGCATCTGTATTTTGATTCGTAATCGAGGATAGATGTAAATGTCTATGGGCCACAGCAACCACTTACCATCAGGTGGACTGCGTGCTCGTTTATTACCCTATGCTATAAAAAAGAAATTAACCGTAAAAAACTATAAAGTGTATTCCTACCTCATTGAGGTAGAGTTAATCGAAAATGAAAAACTTTGGTTTCATGATAATTTTAATGTGCCGATTATGAAACGCCGCTACATTATGTATCAAATTATTAAAATAATAGAAAACAACTCATAAAATCG